TAGTTTCTCATCATAATACTCTAAATATTACAAAAGAAATAAAAAGAAGCCATGTCTAGCATACCATTGTTTATAATCCCTCCTGATTTTGTATTTGATAAGTATTATTTGGTATTTGTGGTGGTAACTTATTTCCATTTTTCTATCAATTTTTCCATCAGTAAGATGTAACTAGCAGTGATTTTCCAGGCTTCCAATAAGAATTTTATTTTCAAATTGCATCCTTTACTATACTAAAACAAGTAAACTGATATTGTCCTACAGTCTTCATTTGTCTTTTACTTATTCTGTGCAGCAATAAAACAAAGTAGGTATTTCTTATTTATCATTTCTGTACGTTTTTGTTTCTTTTTTTTAAACAGCTATAAAAATATAAACTTTGACTTTGCTTCTAAGAAAATGCCTCTATTTCAGAAGCATCTTGCCTTTTACATATTTTGTTTAGAGCAGAGTATGTATGTAATAATGTAAGCAAATGTTAAATTAGTCACCAAGTTAGACTACCAGTACTAGGCATGTCAATTTAAAAAGCATTGAAAAGTGTTATAGTAACTGATACTTAGCTACTCTGGTCATAATTATTTGTAAATCAAACCGAACTTTTAAAGGTACTGTATAAACCCTTAATTAGATATTTTGACTCTATTTTCTGCATGTCATCCATTAATACTGAAATAACAGTATTTTAATAAATAGTTGAGTGGTTATAACAAACAATAAATATACCTACCATTCCTATAGAACTACTTATGTAAATAAATACTTCCCCCTACACCTCATCTTTGCCTTGCTTGTCTCTGAAAGAGTAAAAAATTCCCTTTTCTGTTCTAGCTCTTCACTAGTACAATTCAGCAGTCCAAGGTTTACACAGATTTTAGAATCTGTTCCTCCTCCAAGATTTTTATCCAGAAGAAGCTGTAATTACATTCCTGAAATAACTGGAAATATCAGTGCATGATATACACAGATTTATATCAGATTTATTTATCTGAAAAGCTAGGAAACTCTGTAGCATGAAAGGTTTCTGGAACATCAGGAAAACAATTCCCAGACATATCCAGCTTTTTATGTGCATCAATGAAATCTTCATATGATGCACTGAAGCATTTCAATCTTTTTTTAAACCAGTTTTTCACACAGCCCCAATTTTCAAATATAACTATGACTTAAAGGTATAATGGGAGCCAGTTCCATATCAACACCATGAGCACACGATCTAGTGTGTAGTCTATTGTAATTAAGACCAGTGATTCAATACCTATTGCTACTGGCCAGGTATCATAGCAACCTTGTGTCACTGACTACTGCTGTAAAACTGTTCAGCACCAGCAAGACTATGCTTCAGGAAAATCTACAATGGCACTACAGATTGTCAACATCTGTGGGGGCTGTTACAGGGAGAACAACAAAGAAATCTGCTTTAAAAACCCCTATGCTTCGAAAATTGACAGGGACACTACAGTAACACTATGAAAAAGAAAAAAATGAATAGGAAGGAAAGACCATTTTTTGCCATTCGTTACATAACTTATGCACCCACATCCATCCATATAAGCTGAGAGTTGAAATGCTGCTGCATTACCACACTGTTTATGTATTTCCACAAAGCAGTCTTTTTCTTTCTTACTAAACACAAACATCATTCATCACCAACATTAATCTGAAAATAAAACAGACCCACTTTAAAAATAATATTTAAACTTCCACAAATGAACTCTAGATAGTCTTGTATAAATCTGCAAAAAAAGAAAAAACAGGTTACTATGAACAAGAACCCAATATTGATTTTTCTGCGGTGCAGTAAAGCATCTCCATTCTATTTGGCTGCTGTCAAAGCCACTCTTTAACAGCTGGAGTCAAATTGCACTATTTACAGCAAGAGCCCTTGTCAAGTGGCCCATAAGTATTCTAACAATACACTATTCAAATGGCACTTTGCCACACAAATTGCTGACTTGATGAATACCCTATGTCAATGACTAAGGCCAATATAAAAGTTTCATTTTTATGAGAGGTTTTACATTCACGTATTAAGTAAAGCTTCCTTGAAAAACTATTAAGCTATATATTTTTGGTCTTTTGACATTGAAAATAATTAAAATCTGTTTAAATATATCAAGAGGATTTGACAACATTAATATGGATCTTGTGTTAACTGCATTTGTCACACTCATCTGTTATTGGTACTCCCACTGGCACGTGCAGTACAATAAAAGAATTAAAATGGTCAAAACACCATGAAATCAAAGCATTCGGCTTTTGTATCTGTGATTTACATGATGACAAACGTTTTGAAAGAAAGCCTTTGAAGCTGGACTGCTATGTGAGAATATTTTTCTGCTTTCTTCTTAGGATGGAGGAAAGAGACGGTTACTTTATAAATGTTATTTTGCCTTAAATATAATATTAATGATAAAACCATGTAATATTAAACATTAAAGAAAACGCTAAATCTTACTTGCTATCTTCATGTGAATCACCCCACTGTACAAAATAAGGATCACTCAAAAACATAATACCAACAGGACAAAAAGCTACCCCTTATTTTTTCTGTGACAAATCTTCTGAAATTGAATTCTTTAAAAAGAGACTAAAATTGACAGCTTTAGAAAATAATTAACAATTTAGCATTATTTTATATTTCTAATACACAATTTGCAAAAGCAGCAAAATGATAATAAAAATACTCATTGTATACATTCATACTAAAGCCTATTGGGAATCTGAAAATTTAATGATAGTTTCACCTGTGTGATCACTACATGCTTTGTAATATGGTATGGGATGTTGAACTCTGATATGCACAGAACTTTCACTAATTTCATGAGACTGGATTTCAAAATGGTAAAATACAATGACCCAGAAGAGTCAATACAGCACTTTCTGAAAAAAACTGTTTCCTGAACAAGAACTAAGAAAACCAGCAGATTTCAGAACCAGCCTTCATTTCAGCAATAACAAAACAGTGTTAAAGGAAGCATCAGAGCTCCATGCTTCCTTTTGTGTAGCCTGCATTTGGACTTCTGGAATAGCATTAAAGGGACCTCCATTGTTATTGTCTTCTCATATTTAGCTACACCCTATACATTTAGCCTCCAGCATCTCCCACACTACAGAACCTGCTGTAATGGGGATGGAGTTGCGAAGAAAAGCTAGATGTAATGGATGACAGATTTTTGATGAATGCAAAGTGGTTTCCTAAGAATAGAACTTCATTTGTCAGGAAATTAGACTAAAATAACAGGACTATAACGACAAAAAGATGAAATAAAAGATATTCTGACAGTCATAGGGGAGTCTAAGAGACATCAATAATATTCTCTCACAAAAAATTTTCATCAGATGACTTTTTCATTAAGTCTCAAATATGAAATTTTAAACAAGAAAATGGAATACTTTATTGTGAAATCAGAGCAGCCAAGATGTTTGTCTGATGAAGTGCTATAAAATATTATTACAACTCCACTGTTGCCTATTGTGATATAAATCCCGAAGCACGTGAAAGTTCACATATCAAAATTTACCAAAACCTATTTTTGCATATTCCATGAGCAGCACATTTCCTTCCCAGCCACTTTGTGAAAGCCAAGCAATTTTTAATTTAACAGGTATGACCAAAACTAGACTCCAAACACAACCATAACTTTTTCTGTTGTTCCTCTTTAAAAAGGCAAGAAGAAACTATTCTTTTTAATGAACAGTGAGATCAGATTCTGTGTCAATGGCCAACTAGTGCACCATCTGCCCCACAACATGCTCAGCAGGATTACGCTCTAATAAGACTTTTCAGAAAATGGGATCAAACAGAACTTTAGAAATCAGACTAAGGTTACTAAAAGGTCAAAGATAAATATTAAAAGTTAAACAATAATTATTATAAACCTAAAGTTATAAGTAAATTTGTAGATAACAATTAAAAAAGAATAGAAAATAAATTTGAAGAATGAGGACTCAGATTAAGCTATACTTTAACAGACAGAACTTTGGAATATCCAGTATTTAATTGACCATAATTAATAAAGCCAGAAAAAGGCCTGAGACCATTCTGGGTGCTGTTTCCACATGCAAGCTGAGGGAAAGCATCTTTTCATCTTTTTTTCATCTTTCAACTTATTTTGCAGACTTCGGTGACATTCCCATACTTGTGGGAAAATGCTTTTAATCTAAATTCAGGATTGAGGAACAGCATAACTTTTTATTGCAGAGAATAGAAATCCCAAACCCCATTAATTAGAAGGTAACAAACAAGAAAAAACAAGACTGAGGCCCTATTCTTCAAGATACACTCATATCAAGAGCTCACTGAATTTACCCATTCCTGAGGCACAAACAGGGTTTTGTAAAAGTATATACCATTATCTTCCAACCTAAATAAATATCCACCTAACTGAATTGAAAAATGTATTACATTTGATACAGTTTTAATACTTGGTTTGAATTTAGCAAATACAGGCTTTTTAAATATCTACACATAACTGGAAGATATAGGTGTATCTAGGCTACAAACAGAATTACTACTGCATTTTCAACCTTCTCATAAGGTGCCTCTGTACTTGTTTTCTCAGCTTTAACAGCACATTAACACTTGTTTCAGCACGGTATTTCCTTCTGTTTTTTTTCAAAGCAAAGAGCACAACTTCCCTATCACTCACAATTATTTGGTTTAAGGACTTTTACCAGGAGGTTCTGAGGTTACTGCTAATAGGGCAGTCATAAGCCAGAGGCATAAGGAAATAGGGTCTAACTACATGTGCAAAGTCTCTGAGAAAATAATTCTGAGATGATCTACTGGTGACCTTGCATAAGGCATTCTCCCAGACTTGCTCATTTGTTGTATGAAATAGGGTTAAAGATGTAAAACTGAGCCAGTCAGAACCAGCCTTTATAAACTTTAAAGCAAGCCCTCATACCACCTATACAGGACTACTTTCAGTGAAGGTGAAAAAGAATTTGAATCACAACTCATTGCTCTGGAGAAATGCTTTACTTTTCCTTCTTACCTTATCTGAAGATTTTTCTGTATGAGTGAGATCGTAAGAGACCATGCCATATTTATAAAAGCTAGAATGTTTGTATCCAGCATTTTTATTTCTTTTTGACTCCTGAGATACAGGAAGTAGAGTATCTGCCACCATGTATTCCGAATCTTCAATGGCACTAAGAATGGCTTTTGCCGTTTCACCTGTTTCATGTCTTTCCAGTGTGCCTAGAGAAACAAAAACAGAAAATGCATTTTTTTTCAAGAAACTATACTAATTCATATTTCAGTGTAAATATCACAGCACTGAGTACTTTTCATGTGAGAAGATAAATCATGAAGAATTTACAGATTAATCAACTAATTTCTCATTTTATGGACCTTAAGAATATATCTTATGCAAGGGTCTATTCTACAGCATTATTACATTAAAAAACAAAATCTAATTTCTATAGAAATCACTATAGAAAATACCTTATTTATACAACAAGAAACAGGCATTGTGTATAGTACGTCAAGTCAGATGCAATTTTCAAAAGGAGAAAAAGGAAGTCAAGACTATGACTTGCCCTAACTCTGTTCAAGAATCATTTGTTTTGTTTCCACAAAGCCCTCACAGAGCATCTGTATCATTAACAGTGTAAACAATAACACGTTTATGTAATATTTTAGTGCTGTCCTCTAGTGTTCTGGGTTACAAATAGCAAGGGAAAGCTCAAATTTTTCTTTCCATTCCTAAAAACATCGTTACCTCTCGCACTTTTAAACAACTGAATATAGCACATGTATCTTAGCAGCCCGATTCCTTTAACTCTAGGCAATCTGGTTCCTTTAACTGTTATACAGTTTAGTTATAATTTTATTTAGTAGCAATTTTAGTAACAGCACTTTATAACTGTCATTAAAGACATGTAAACTGAGCTTAAATGTATTTGAAATGAGCTCCTACTATACGCTACACATTTCCTATAGGAATTAAACTCATAAGAAATTGCTGAAACGGCATGTTTCCTATAAATATCAGAGATAAAAGACATGTGAAGGATTTTTAAAGTATTAAATATCTGCTGTAACGTGAAATGTTTTTTCCCTTAAGTTTGAATTCTTTGTAGCCTCAAGTAACACAACATGAATTTTCCCTTTCACTGCTACCAGAAAAAATTGTGTAACATTGAAGTTCTATCAGTAACACCTGCTAAAAATATTGGACTGGGATTGAGGGATCTCATACAGTAAGTGTTTGTGTGTATATGTGTATAAAAACTCTTCATCTGAAATTATTTCTTTGAAACTCATCCATTTCTGTTCACTGCAGTATCACCTCTGTTATTTACAGGGCCAAAAGCCCTTGAATTCAAAGCAATGCAACTGATTCTTTGTCCCCTACAATATCAATTGAATACTATAGATTACTATGAAATTCCACTGAAAAACTAAAGATCAGTCTCAGTTGGTTTTCGTATGTAACTTTCTTTATCCCTCCCCAGGATTTGGAGCTACTGTCAAGGATCATTACAGAACTGAATATTTACTGCAAGGAAAGCTAGCTTCCCAAAGATATTTACAGCTGGAATATCTATAATTACTTCAAAACAAACCTTGGTACAATGCTCCCAACATTGCAGTGTTTCAATAGTTCAAACACAGAAACTATTAATAGAAGCCTACAAGGAAGGGTTATACAATTCATACTAGACATAAGCAAACACACATCCTGAAAAGAATGAAAAGTGTTTGCAGAGTTACACCTGGAAATAACAGTCACAATAACAGTCACTCAGCTAATATTATTTTAGCATCTTTATATACGCAGTGTAATCTTTCAAGCTGTAAGTATACCCTGTTTCATCACAGAATCCTGTTCATCATACAGAGCAAAGGATGAACAAAAATCACTAAAAAAGTAGATGTTCTCCCTTATTAAGTGTAAATGACTAAGCTTTCCCTACTACCTTCTGCAGTAATTCCATTATGCAAAGAACACTTATATGTGTATATATACACATAAATATCCATCCTTGTTTTCTGTATCACTTGGTCTGTGTAATTCACTACCATGAATACTGAAGTGCTTCAGAAAGACTATTATCATAATACCCTTGTGAAATTACTGTGTATCATTTTTATGGACAAGTATTAAAGGCAAACATTATACTAAATTTTTAATCAATCCAACAATTTTGAGGGCATGGTATTAAATTTCAAAGACCTGATTACATACTTTTTAGCATTAGACAGAACTTCAAAACAAGTTTTTCTAGCTTTAGATGCATCCGTATGTGCACACCACCAGTCATACCCTTAGAGCCAGACTGTTATACGGAAAATTAAGTGAAAGATTCTTGTATATATGGAATAGAATACAATAATTAAGGCTATCATGCCACAGTAGCAAAAGGATAAAATCATGTTTCTGTCACAAATCAAGATATGAGCTGCCTGAATTTTCATCCTCCTATAAATGCATATATACTCAGGAGAAAAAAAAAATACATATATATATATTTAAGGCTTGCTTTATTTTCAATATAACAGAGCTTATTGCCTGGAAACAGCTTCAGAGCCAAGTTTACAACTTCTGCTTGAACAAAAGATTTTTAGTCTAAAGGAAAAGAAACAAACCAGAAAAAGCGGTAAAAACCACAGGAAAGGGGGACAGAAGCATTTCACCTTTGAAGACCATGGCCTGAATGACATAAAGAGGCAGTCTTGATGTCCATGAAAGCAAACTGATATTTCATACTTTGCACATATGAACCATTTAAAAATGCTGATAGATGTGCTTCTACATATTGTAGTCTTATGGATGTAAACGGAAACAACTGTACATGTGTTACTGAATATTTCTGCTACCTACCAAACTCTAAGTGTCAGCATTGGAATCATGCTGGTAGCAAGTGTCACATTTTCCATGTGTAGTTTGGAGAAGGGAAAATTAACTACTTAATAATATGAAAAAAACCACCCCTTCTGCATTCACACTGGGCAAGAGCTGGGACTCAGCCTCTCACATGGAGTCACAATATTTACTGTTTCTGGTTTTTATTTTTTCAGCACATTTATAGGCAGAAAACAATGCCCTGGATGACCAGCTTAGTTTCTCACTAACAGAAGTCTGTGATATCCTAAAGTCAATTTCAGAAACTTACGAGTTCCATCTTAAATTATTTATATATCATCCACAACAGCTATCTAAACTCTCTCACAAGTAGTACCTTCTAGAAAATGGTTCCTTTATAAAGCATGGTTGCTTGCATATACATCTTAATCATGGATCTCTGTATATGTGTGTAGACATAGGTACAGACTTGTGTACACAGAGCTCCAATAAAAGGGCACAAAGGGCATAGCGAAATTGCCGTGATGGAAAGGGGCAAGTATTACAAAATATTTGTTATCCAATGTACTCTACACTTCTGAAGAGCCCAAAATACTCATTTGCAAAGTGAGTAGATGGCAGAGACAAAAATAGGTATCTGTATTCTGCGATTCCTAAATACATATTTGAAAGAAACAAACAGGGAGGGAGGGGGGAATGTGTGTGTATGTGACAGTGACATTCTGATCACTTCAAACAGTTAAAGCAATACTGGAGCAGAGTGGTTATTGTTCCAGGAAGTTATCTGTCAGGAACATTGTATCTGATTTTAAAGGAAACAAAAATAAAGGAGTAAGAAAAGGCAAAGCCTGTACATAGGAATACAGAGGACAGAGAACAGAAATAAAGACAACTCTGAAACTTGAAGTATTTTAAACACAAATACACTCAAAAGCTTTTGATTGGAGAGCATATGTAACAATGAATGAAAGGGAAAATGTAGGGTTTTCTACATCGCAGCAACACCACTGCTATGACCCCCTACTATACATACAAAATACAGGAAAAGAAAGTCTTTATCTCTCTAAAGCTGTGACCATGGCAACCAAGTCTCAGGAACAGACAAGACTGGAGTATTTTACTCTCCTGGGCAGCTTTGGACCACCAGATGTGACTGGATAGAGACTGTTAAAACATCTTATTCTTCTTCTAGACCAAATACTACAAATTGCGTCTCTTGGTGTTATCACTGTCCACACAGTTCTCTGGGTTCTGCTCTTACTGAATGATGCATTTTTACTTAGGAGGCCACACATATTATCCTGCCTCAAGACGAGGTATTCACTGATATCACATGACCTGTCATATCATCAGGCTCCAGTGCTTTCTGTTTGCTGTCACAGCTAAAGTATTGAAAATCCTCAATATTGCAGTACTGCTGTGACCTAGTAACTCAGCTGAATCTTACAGCGTAACGCTGATCTGTGAATGAAAAATGGTTTCAGAATTGATTTTATTTGAAAAGAGTATGTGGTCAAGAACAAATCCTTTAATAGTGGCAAAAGAAAAAAAATAAATAAATCACCTTTTAGAACAAGTTTCCTCTGCAATATTGTTTTATTTTCTGTCAATATCTCCCTTTCCATAAATACAGATTTCATCTGAAAAGAAATTCCCACCCGCTTTCTTCTAAGCTGCTGGAATCAGGCAAACAGAACTTATGTTCCTTACTGGAAGATGCTTGAATTTCACAAGTCTACCATCTTGCTCCAAGACAGCTGTCAAGCATTTCACTTGAAAGAGTTCTCCGAACTGCCAGTGCCTACCACTCTAGTATCAAATGGCCCACAGCAAGTGGAACAACTATTACATTAAGTAAGTATATATATTTCCAACTGATACTCAGACAAAAATAACTACTTTCTATCAAATAGAAATAGGAGAGATCAAACAAACACTAGCCTATTAAAATCTAATAATCTTTAAAGGAATAATTTACATACAGGAATAGATTAACAAAGGAAATGCCCTGTGACTATAGCACTGTATAGAGGAGCAAGGAGAATGTCTTGGCAGACCATCCTTGATGTTTTTTTGCATTTGGAAGACTTCAGTCTTGTCCAACTGCTGTGCATTACAGACATTCTTCAGAATACACATTTTCAAAATAGCTATTGTCAAGATATCCTTTAGCTAAAGATGGCTTTGAAGAGCAGCACAAACTACCAGGATCAGTCTTACAAATGTAGGTAAAAAAGCAGTTCTCCAATGCAGCCAAGTCCTCATCTCGGAATTTCTGCTGCAGACACAACACGCAAGGAAAAAAGACATTCGAACTCCCCTGTTGTCTCCCTGATTCCATTTAAGCTATTCTAAACAGCAAAGGACAATAATCCCGTAATGGGAATTG